TCAACCCCCCCCCCCACCCCCCCCCCAATCAGTGTTTTGTCTCCCAAAATTTCACTGTCTTTTGTGATTTATAGGCTTGTGGTCGATTTATAAATAATAATGCAGTGACAAAAATGGCTCAATCATCCAGTAAATCCCCAGAGCTACTGGCACGATACTGTGACTCTTTACTAAAGAAAAGGTACGTCTTCAAAGACAAATTATTACTTCAGGTTGGCTTTCGTTTTAAAAGGTTTTAGCATATGAAGTTTTACATTGTGTCTTCAGAAATAGAACTTAATATTTCAAGAAAAATTAATTGTGCCAAATTCTGAATATAAAAATTTCAATAGGACCATTCCTAAAGATTATATGGAGTTTACTTTTCTTTTTTAAAGAAGGGGGGAAATAATAAAATATCTAAGACCTTTCTTTCCTTATAGGAACTAAGTTCTGGTTTTTTAATAAAACAGAAGAGGTTTTTTAGGGTTTTGGGGTTTTTTTCCCCTAAAATTTGAGTGGTGTTATATGTTGTAAAGAAGAGACACACATTCCCTTTTTTGCATTAAAACTCTTGCTTTCCTCCTGTTTTCTCTATATCTTCTTCCATCTAGGCAGAAATTGAGGAGGACAAAAACGGCTTTCTAACCTCTCGTGGTTCATAATTTAATTAAAGTATTCGGCTGCAAATGATTCAGCAGCTCATACATTGAGTTCAGTTCAGTTCATACTGGATTGGTGTCAGTTTTGTCACTGGCAACTTTTCTAGCTGTTTTAGGGGAAGAAAAAAAACAGCACCAAATGACCCAAAACCAGAAAAAACTTGCTCTTTTTTCCTTTCCCTATCCCCTCCTTCCTTCAGCAAAGGATTTATTTTCCCCTTTATAAATACCAGCTTTCTGCAGGTTAGATTTGGGGTATGCCTGATGGACAAGCATGATATGGAGGAAAACAGTGTGATGACACCTGAGCTCTCACCCAGTCAAGACCCAGCTCTCTGAGCTGTTTTCTTTTCACTGTACTAAGATAAGAAATGAAGATAGCATTTAGCAGCAGAAAAAAGGCAGGAAGAGAGAGAGATCCATGTTTAAGTCCATAAATCCTGAGAAATATCTGGCTATCAGGAAGTCCCGAGCAATTCATGGTCCAGGACTTCAACCTATTGTTTAAAAATAGCGTACTTCAGAATTGCTTACATGTGGAGTAGTGAAGTGTTCATTTCACTACGCTGTTTCCTTTCTAATGGTTGGACTGGATGATCTTAAAGGTCTGTTCCAACCTAAACGATTCTATGATTCTGTGACTTGATCCCAGAACTACTCAATCTGTGTTCCTTTATTTATGAAATTTCCATATACATCCATATGTTGTTTTAATTCAGCAGTTTTGGGACTCATTAAAAATGCACTTCTTTAATTGCAGCTCAAAGAATCCAGAAGAAGCAGAATTGGAAGATACACTCAATCAAGTGGTAAGATGTCTATAAATACAGTTCTGTTCTGTGTAAGCTTTGGCAAGCTAGTAATATTTGATTATCACACAAGTCAGATGAGTGAAAACCTTTTATTGTGTATGTTTGACTTCATTACTTAATATTTCAGCTTTTCAGTAATAATCTCTGTGTGTCTTGTTGGTTGTATTTTTTTTAATTAAAAAAAGGCACCTCACACCAGATTTAAAGTGGCTAAATGGAATTTATGCTTCTACTTCATTTTTGTATACACATATAATATATATAATTTCTACAATATATTTTTGTATAATTACATATACACACATTTATTGATGTATAAGGCTGTACACGTGGAATATACAGGTAATGTGTTTAAGATAGTATCTACATTTAAAACAAACACACAACACCACCACTGTCCGTCTGTCCCACCCCTGTCCCCCCCCCCTCCAAAAAAAAAAAAAAAAACCAAAACCCCAACCCCCTGCCCTTAAAAAGTGTAAGTGCAGATGAGGTAGCTACTGCTACAGCTTTTTCAAGACATGCTTAAATAGTTTTTTTTTTTTCTTACAAATTATCTTGGCTTTTCCAGATGGTTGTCTTCAAGTACATTGAGGATAAAGATGTCTTTCAGAAATTCTATGCTAAAATGCTGGCAAAAAGACTGGTACATCAGAACAGTGCTAGTGATGATGCTGAGGCAAGCATGATCTCTAAACTAAAAGTGAGTATTCCATGACTGTCCCATGATAAACTGTATTGCCTGTCTTTGGGCTGCCTTGGAAAGCATTGATGTATTTCATTTCATTTCATTATTTTATATACAACAGAAAAATACACAACCTAGGAGGTATTTTCCTTTTTTTTAAAAAAACAAAACAAAACATAAAACAAACCAACCTCCTAGGAGCTTGTAGTGCATGTCTGTCTGGAGTACAGTTTAATTATTCTTATCCAAATGAATGACATAGATATAATTATCCAAGGGAATGACTGCTGAAAAGTTGCTTAATTTCATTAACCTTTTTTCATTCAGGGTTGAGCAAAATATGATCTAATACTCTTTTAGTAGTCTGTTTCATTGTCTGTTTTGCTTCATTTTTAAACAAAATTTTCTTCAGTTTTTGATGACAGTTAAAGAGCATGTCCAGATGGGATCAGTACTTTGAGTAAGGGAAATACTGAACTTTATACATCTTCTTTTAAGAAAATAGGCTCCGATACTTTGTTCTTCTCATTCTCCAATGTCAAAAATGTGTCTTGCTGACATGTCTGTGCTTTTAAAATACAGCAAGCTTGTGGTTTTGAGTATACCTCCAAGCTGCAGCGGATGTTCCAAGATATTGGTGTAAGCAAGGACTTGAATGAGCAATTTAAAAAGCACCTGACCAATTCAGAACCATTAGATTGTAAGTAATACATTTACCTAAGTTACTGTTGAGTAGTTTAGCTTCCTCTTATCTCTATGGAGCTAACTATATGAGGGAAATATTTGATTTAGACATCACACCCCCAGAAGTTAGTTAGTATTATTTTGACTGAGATAGCTAGGATTTTTAAATTAGTCTTTTAGGTTTGTACTTTGTCTTCTAATAGCACTTTATATCTTCTGTTATGGGTAGCCTCCTCCTGATTTTGCAGCTCATGTTTAGGTATGTAATTAAATTAAGTTCAATCCTGTCCTTTCCTTTTTTTTTTTTTTTTTTTTAATTGGAAAGGTGTTTTTCTTTTGAGCAAAACATGGCTTAAGTTCATACTTGTGTAAAAGGAAAAAAGTATATATTGTGTTTTAGGCTGTTAGACCTATCACTTTCTTATAAAGAATTTTTTTTTTTTTCATTGAAGCACACTGAAACAAATTCTTTAAAGAATAGATAATTATTTGTTGGATTACATTTAGAGTTGTGTATTGTCAGGCTTAAATTTTACTTAGTTTTTGTATTATTCTTACTGACTTGCCCAAAATGCCTCACAAGAATAAATGTGAAATGTTTATTCTTGGAGTTGTGTACTGTGGAGTGACGAGTTTTAGTTACACATAAAAATGAACACTTAGACTTTTTACACTTGCATGTTAAAAGAGAAATCCATTGTAGGTATAGAAACAGGGTAATAATTTCTACAAATGAGAGAAAATTGAGCGACTGTCAGAGGAAATCTAAAGCTCTCCAACTGCAGCGACATCTTACATGAATTCCTTTGTTTTATGGTCTGAATTAAAATATATATATATGTATATATTGCTTAATGATTTTTCACCATGTTAGTTTGAAGAAAAGGCAGAACCATTTCTTGTGTGTGTTAGAACTGGGACTGTGTGTTTGAAGAGGGGGTGGGAGCAAGGGGGATAACTCAGCTCAGCTTCTTCACCTTTCTTCCAGTGGATTTCAGCATCCAGGTGCTGAGTTCTGGATCGTGGCCGTTCCAGCAGTCCTGCACCTTTGCTCTGCCATCTGAGGTGAGGCGCTGGCACGTGGTTCATCCGAACAGGGAATGATCACGTGAGAAATTTGTTTTACAAGGCTGGTGTCTCCTCCTGTTTTGTTGTGTGTCAGAGAGGACTGGAAGTGTCTCTCGTGTTTGCCTGTTTGGCTGCAGGGTATTTGGAACAAGATAAGTGAGTAAGGTAGTAGGAGGGAACTGTGTGAAATAGATAACTGTTTTCTTCTGTGGAAAGACCCTGGCTAATGAATCTTTCTTCAAAACATTCAACAGAAACTGAAGCAAATCTTTGTTAGTGTATTTTTCTGTGTATACTTTTATTTAAGAAACTTCTTCGGCTCTGTCCAGTAAAATCTTTAGATATTATAATAATTAGTTTTCTGTTGAGCACTTATCCAGAATAGACAAGACCTGAATACGTAACATGAGAAATAGTTTAACTGCTGTTACCTGGAGGATGAGGGTGGTTAAAAGAAATCTCCTTTCTAGCCTTGCTTAATGTATCATAAAAGGAAGGATGAAACTTAAATGCTTGTTTAGGTTTGTATGTTTAATGACACTTTAAAGGGAATGCTCATAACAAAGGGAAATTTTCATCCAGTCTGAAGAATTTGAATAGTTTGGATTTCTGTTTGTCTTATTCAGACAACATGGCAGTCGAGGGTGATCAGATTTGATTCTCCTTTGTTGGTTCCAGAGTATGTTCTAGTAATGGTAACTGAAGGTAAATAATACTCTTTCTTTATTTATTGTTGTTGTTTTTATACAGCTAGAACGGAGCTATCAGAGATTTACTGCATTTTATGCCAGTCGTCATAGTGGAAGAAAATTAACATGGTTATATCAGCTGTCCAAAGGGGAATTGGTTACCAACTGTTTCAAAAACAGATACACGTTACAGGTAAGGATAACGTCATGCCAATAACACCACTTGGTGATGATTGCATTCAGAGGACTGGATGTAGCTGATCATTTAAAAGACATGTGTTCACACTCTGCTCCACTGCTCTTATGTTATCTGGATGAGCTGTTCAGCCTTTTTACTCCTCATTTGGAGATAATTGCTTTTCCTTACTTCAGAGGACCATTGTGCAGATAAATGTGTTGGAAATGGTGAAGTGTGTAGATGTTGAAGTAGTGGAGTTCGTGTGAATACCTGTGCCTGCATGCAAACTGGTTTTAATAGATAATACAGTGAATTTAGCTGTATTTTATTTGTATGTCAAAATATTCATTAACAGTATGTAATGATGTATCACAATTAAGTATTTTAAATAATTCAGTTCCTTAATTGGGGGGTGTACATTCATATGTATACACACGCATACATGTTTAGCTACCATTTACAATGCTTATATGCATTCATTAGCTTTATTCCTGTGAATGATGCTGCTGTCTTTAAATAAAGCAAAGCACAGATGCAAGACCTGATGGCTGCAGATCTGTGTATTACTGAAGCGAACATAAATGTTAGCCCTCCCCAGATGGTTGTTGATGTTATGATTAATAGAACCTTTATTATATGTTTGTATTTACTGTACTGATACTTGAGATCTATGTTTAAAAGAAAATTGACATAGAAAAGGGAATACATTACTTGCGGTTTAAACAGGTATTGAACTGCATTGTGTGAGGCAACTGCAACCTCTTTGCCTAAGATCTCATGCTTCTTATACTTTCCTGTCTGCTTTCTCTCGAAAAGTAGACAGAAGAGGGGAGTTCACAACAGTGAGAAGAAACAAGATAATCTCAGACTTTGAACTTGTGATGAACATATGTTAACCCTGTGGTGATAGACGTGAATAAGCCACTGATAGCGGCCTTGTTTATAAATTTGGTTTCATTATTGTGCTGGAGTGGGGAGAGTTGTGGGGATGCATTTAGCAGTCTTTGTAGGTTTTAATGAAGATTAAATGGGTAAGAGTCAGGGAGTGACAGAGGAAAACAATTTAAAATTATATTAGCAAGTAGAGAGATAAGGCTTGGACACCATAACAGAAGATTTGATGAAGTGCCTGCAGCTAGTTAAATGATCATTATCTTAGGGTTTATGTTTAGATAATGCTGGAAGGTAGAATTCTGGTTGTATAAGTAACATGAGATTTTTCTGTATTATATAATGATTAGCACTAGTTGGCTTTTCACTGTTGCCAAATATTCCAGTATATGTGTTTAACTGGTGAATTTCAGGCTGTTCAAATTCAGAAAGTATGTTTGTTCATTCTCATTTTCTGATTTCCCCCCTCCCCCCCCCCCCTTTTTTTTTTTTTGATCTGTTAGGCATCCACATTCCAGATGGCGATTTTACTGCAGTACAACACGGAAGATGCCTATACCGTGCAGCAGCTGACAGACAGTACTCAAATAAAAATGGTAGTGACTTTGCATGTTTTACCACACTCTTCTGAACAAGTCTTTTGGTCTTCAGGGCTCTTCCTGCTATTGTAAGAAATTGGGATTAGGCATGCTTAAAGCCAGAGTCGGTTTCTGTCCTAAAGGAGACAGATGTGCTCTATTCTTGGTCAACTTAGTTTCCTGGTTTACTCTCCTGTAATCATAACTGCCTAGTCTTCTGATGAATCTTAGTGTGTATGTACTCCTGTTCATGACTAGAGTGAATTGTCTAGCTCTGGCAGTAAGTTTTCAGTGTTTCAGTATGTACATTTTAATAGTAAAAGACAACATCCTAGGAAAAACAGCATTTTCCCTAAATGATTGATCTGCGCATCCATTCTTCTTACATCTCAAGGCTTACGTACATGAACATAGTAAAATCTGCAGTCTCATTGGCTCACTCTCTCTTGTGGAAAAGGTTCCTTCCTTTTCTCACCAAGTAGACTTTACGGCCCACAGTTTATTTGGCATCTGTGTCCTTTACTAGTAGGTTTGAATCAAGTCTGCTGGTACTTCTAGTCAGTGAGATCTTTACTTTTAGAAACGTGTATCTAGAAAGTTACTGCTGCTGATGGTTTACAGCAGTCCCAGAAGTTGTATGGGGTTGTGATTTATTATAGATGCTTGTTTGCAGATATGGAGAGAGATATATATGTAAAACAAATATTTGGCCCAAATTGTGGTTGGACCGGAATAAAGCTCTTTAGACAGCTGAAAACAAACTGCATGAAACCCAGAATTTTTCCACTGTGGTAAAACAGCAGTTTTGCAAGCCTGCACAGACATTGACAGTAGTGTAGCCATCTGGGTGACCGTCCAGGGACAGTAACCAGAACAGATCCCTGGTGTAAGCGAGAAAAAGATGTTAATCAGAAAGCAGAGGGTGCTTGCTTTCTGAGGTTTAAGCTTGCCCTGGTATATATATTTGCATGGTTTGGGAAAAATTATTTCTTCACTTATAAATCTGCTTGCAAAATAGCTGCTAAAACAGCAACTGGAAAGATCTGTTGTTGGGAATTTGTCTTTCTAAAGAATTTGATGTTATTTGACTGTCCGCAAGGCCAAAAGGGCCTTATTACATTTTATTTCTGCGGACTACGTTTTTACTGCTTTTTTCTTTTTGCTCATTTTGCAGTGTTCTGCACTCACTAGTTTTTATTCTAAATATGTGTATTCTTGTTGAAGTGTTTTAAGTTAGAGAAAGGTGCTGTCTGTATGCATTGATAATGTTTTCTGTAATTTTGTAGGATATCTTGGCCCAAGTTCTACAGATACTGTTGAAATCAAAATTGCTTGTAAGTACTCTTGCTTTTTTATGACCTGCTTAACATTCAGCAAAATGTAGTAATGAATATTTATTTGTTTGTTTGTTTGTTTATTTCTTGCAGGTTTTGGAAGATGAAAATGCAAATGTTGATGAGGTGGAGTTAAAACCAGATACCTTAATAAAACTGTATCTCGGTTATAAAAAGTAAGGAAAAACTTCAGCAGCATACATCACTTGTGTATAATGGATAGCATCCTCCTTCTCTGCTTCCAAAATTTGGGTAAAACCGAATATACCTGGGATGAAAGCTCCAGGGTTCAAGTGCCAATTCAAATACAGATCCAATGTGTACCACCTTTAAAGGAGGGTTGGCTAGTAGGGGAGATGGGTGAGATTTCAGCTGTCTGACTTTGACTTTGTCATAAAGTCTGTCAAGGCCTGGACGTATTTTCTTTCATATGTCCTCTGTTCCTTGATTCTTGTCTAATTCTTGTATAATTTATTTCTGGTAAGAAATTGTGCCAGTTTTTAGCAAGGTGCATGACTTGCATGTACTCAGCAAAATACGTTCTATTTTATAAGGTTACAGTAGTGTACAGTGACCAGCAAAGGTCAAAGTCTTCAATGTTCATCCACTAGAGATAATGTGAGAAGATCAGCAGGCTCATTTTAGAACTTCAGAGTGTACAGTGATTTGAAAACTTAATAAACACAATTTTCAGTAGTTTTTATTACCTACTTTAACCAGTGTTGCTTTCAGCGTTTGTATATTTTAAGCTGTTCACAGTACTGTGGTGACTTCTTACCACGCTTATCAGAGCATAGACATAAACACACATAAATTCAGTGAGGAGTTCAGTACTTCCTGAAGATAAGATTTCAAGTGTAAGAAACATCTTAAAACCTTTCCTTGTACCTCACTCTTTATCTGTTTTCTTCCCTCCTTGACCAATAATTAAAGGTTTGAGAATTCATGGTCAGTTATGTTAATGCAGTGATGGAAACAGCTCAGCGTTGCTGCACGGGGCGGCTCGGTGATTCCCAATTTGACGTGCAAGACTACACTAAATAAATAAGAGATCCCCTCTCTGCAGCAGCATTCCCCCGTGCAGCCACCAGGCTGAGCGCTGCCCCACGCTCCCTGGTGCCCTGGTGCTGAGGTTCTGTCCCCAGTTGTGACGCAGCACCTTGGGTAGTGGGCTCGCCCTAGCATAACCGTGGGCACTGAGGAGCATGTCAAAGGCAGAATTCAGTTTTACAGAACAAATGGGTTTCTGCACATTATGGTGAGAATCCAAGATGTAAATCAGAATGGTGATTCTGTTTCCACTGACTTTGTCCTATTTGCTGATGGGAAGCTTCTTACTAAACAGAGAAATCTTTCAAATATACTGTAATATATTGCGCTAATTTGACCTCACAGGTCACTAGGTTGGATTCAGTCAGTCATGAAATACACAAATAACCACCAAAAAGGTATTTTGGTTTTTTGGTTGGTTGCAGTTTTGTCTTCATTTACTTTTTTAAACTTGAATAAGATTGTTTAAAGTTTTCACAAGTGCCAAAGTCCCCTTTTGTTGTAAAGTAATCATGGTGGTGTGGCTTTTATTTTGGAGTTGGGTTTTGTTTGGGGGTTTTTTGTTTGATTGTTTTTTAAACAGGCTAATTGTTTTACTAACTTCTGTTTTTCTTTACAGCAAAAAATTAAGGGTAAACATTAATGTGCCAATGAAGACTGAACAGAAGCAGGAGCAAGAAACTACACACAAAAATATAGAGGAAGATAGGAAACTACTGATTCAGGTGACTTGTACTGCAGAATGCTGCCATGCTATGAACTCAGAATTACAGCTCTGTAATCCTTTAATGAAGCTTACTGTGGGGTTTATTTTTATTAAAAGACAATGTGCGTTGCAGTGCACTGTGTTGGAACTAAAAATGAATTTACAGTACTCTTGAAGGCAATATGAGCCTGTAATAGAAAATGTAGAAAGGCATGATAGGACACTGTTCTTCACATTTGTTCTGATGTCGTGCTGATGAGTGTTTGGGTTCCACGGATGCATGCACTCACCAGATCTCTGTCCTGGGTGAAAACTGGTAATACCTAGGTAGTGTGAACTTAAGAGTGGTTTTGTATCAGTTCATTTGGAATCCACTTGAGAAGCAAAGAGGCAGGGGAAAGTAATACAAATGTATTACTCAGCGTCACAGTAAGGTTAAAGATATAAAGAAGGCTTTATGTTATATAAGTAGTTTCATGTTGCTCTTGGTACCGGTTGGTACTGTTGTTATGACTGACCGTAAGCAGAGTAGTTCTTAAAATTCATGTGTCAAAACCACTTCTGATGACTGTATGCTATTTAGAATCTGAGTTCTTAAAGTCTGCGTGAGTAGTTGACATTTGTAGGCATGCTTCTCCCCATCTGGTACTCAAGTTTGCTGTGATGATGCTTCTGTGCTAGCAGACATGATCTGCTAGGGAAGTAAAATGGCTTTATCCAGAAGGACAAGTAGTTTGCTCCTAAGCGCACCTTTCCGACTTTGCTGTGCAGGCTGCTATTGTGAGAATCATGAAAATGAGGAAGGTTCTAAAACACCAGCAACTGCTTGGAGAAGTGCTAACACAGCTGTCCTCAAGGTTCAAGCCACGAGTTCCAGTAATTAAGGTATGTGAGAACTGCATCTCTGAACCTGTGTTTTAGGAGGTGAGGAGGATATATAGGCAGAATACATGCTTCTGAATTAAAAAGGGAAGCTAAGGGGATGGGATGGGTAAGGACAGATTTTTGGAGTTGTAAATAAATAGGAAATAATTGTGTTTCTCTTAATGGCGATACGCATGTTTTGTATTGTTGGCAGTAGCAATATAGTAGCTTGATTGCATCTTTTCACACCAGTGCCAGCTTGCGGCAGCCTCTGCTCCAGGCTTACCTCTTGCTCCTGCTCTCCTGGTTGTGCGAGTACCACTGCTTGTGGGCCAGCTCAACAAAACAGTTTCCTGATCTCTTCTAGAATAAAAATGTTGGGGAGGGGGGCGTTGTATTTGATGTCATCAGTTTGTTTAGTGATCCTGCCAGTCGTTTTTACATCCACTTTGAAGGGGATGTAAAAAAACCAACCAACCAAACAAACAAAAAACAAACAGGCAGTGGAAAGCAGTTGCATAAACTGGCACCAGTCCTGAAAGAGATGCAGCTGGTCAAGTCATGAAGCAGGCAGCTAGTTACTGCCACTGCTGTCTTTGGTGACCTTACAGTAAGCACTCTGCGTCTTGGTTTACCTCTTTATTTGCTGTCTTACTATTAAGTTGCTCAGTGTACTGGTAATCAGTTGATCTCCCAGTCCCTACCCTGGAATGGCACCAAGTAAGTGTAATTCAGTTTAGTGGATTAGTGAAGTCCTCTGCTTGGGTGTGGTCAGAAATGGGAGAGCAAATTGCCATGGATTTATGGCCTTTGCCTACTCCTGTCCTCTACTTGGCGTGAAATTCAGTGGCCAAAATTGTTCACAGTTTGTAGCAACAGAGGGCTTTTCTGCCAGTGTCCCACCGCTTCCGTTTGTTTCTCCCACAGAAATGCATCGACATTCTGATTGAGAAGGAGTACTTGGAACGTGTAGATGGTGAGAAGGACACCTACAGTTACTTGGCTTAACATTTTTATTAGCAATTACTTGACTGTGTGACACTCGGCAAATAGGTATGTGATGGAAAGAATGAAAGCAACGGAACTTCATAGCAGCCACCCTGCTGCCATTTGGACCTCCCTTTTTAATAACAGAGACCAGGACTCCCATCAGCCAGTCTCAGATTTACATCAGAACTGCTCAGGATTGATACATTTCAAGTATGTAAATATGGACACCAATGCCATTTAACCTAATTTAAGAACAGAAAGGAATCAAACCCTTCTCCTTTAAGGGTTGCATGCTACTGCATTTAAATCAATACATTGGCTATATGATAAACAGCTGCCGTCACAGGCAGCACTTAAATGTTGGCAGCACTTTGAGAGCGAGTCTGAATGGACCCATGTGTAATCTGCTATGAAAACCCATTTGTATAGTGTGTTTCATTTTTTAATGTGTGATAAATAAAAAAAAATTAAAAGATTTCTGTACAAGTTGCATTTGGTTTTATTGTTTTAAGTTTCATGACTTATCTTTCTAAATGTAAATAAAAGGTATAATGGTTATGAAAGCTATAGAAATTCGTTTTGCTTTTCCTCCTTTTACCTGTTTTCTGGTGATTTAAGCACATTTTGTTCTCTGAAGAAACTAATTGTCATCTATCATCAAGTGTGAATGTTATTTAAGAGGAAATGTCTGTGCTTTGAAGAGACAAGAAAGTTGTGGTGATTTCACAAGATATGCAGGGTAGAAAATACTTAGAATGTATGTGGCAATACTTGGCCATTGAAATTGGAGCTGGTTTTAATATTGTTCAGTATGCTGTAAAATGCATCACACTTGCCTAAATATTGCCCTGAATAAATAAGGTCTAGGCTGCCCATTTCTTTGACTAAACCAGAAAATTGAGTGTATTCCTAAAGATGAATTCCCACTAAATGCAACCCGTGATGGGAATTAAAATATTTTTGAGTGTTACTACAAGTATATTGATTGACCAGGCTTCATTCCACTCTTCTCACAATGTTTTGTGTTCATTATGTACATGTAAAGTGAGTATTAGCTTTCCACTTGTTACAAGCAAAATGCTACCTATCCTCGCAGGTCTCAGTTTTGGTAACTTATATTTTCTGTTCTTGATGGTGAAAAGAACCTAACTTCTGCAGCCAAACCCTTGTTTCCCCTTAGAATTTGTGTTTTGTTCAGTGTTCTGGCATGAAGAAAAGGGAGCCAGGTTTTGTGTTGATACTGTTTCTCTCCAAGGGAAACTAATTTTTCATGGCTACAATTGGGCTTTGACCTACAAAAAATGTCTGTTTGTTTAAAAAAAAAGAAAAAAAGACTCCCAGCTTGAATTATGGAGCAGTATTAGATGTGATCCACACTGGTTTGGAAAATGGGGGAGAAATCTCACCCCCACCTGAGATTTTGCATGCTTGCTATTCCTAGTCTGAAAGAACCTTAATTGCACTAAAGGCTGCCAGAATGGGTAATAGGAGCACCTTGCTGTTCAGTTTTCAAATTGCTTTTTGAAATCTAGAAGAATGGAGCTTGTGATGCTTTCTGGGCTGACTTGTGCATGTGGGTGTGGTGTTTTGTTTTTTGCAAAACCTTCTTGCAGAAAGTTTGGTGCTAGTAGCAGGATGTAAGAGTGGTACAGTGACAGAGAAGCAGGCTGAATGATGATCGCATGTGGAAGGCCAGAAATAACCTGCTCTGAGCTGCCTCTCAAAGCCTAGCCTTAACCCATCGCTGGTTAAAGCAGCACTACTTTGTATGTTGTCTCTATTTTTAAAACCCATCTGCTGTCGATCCAGCTTCAGCCAAGAGCCATGCTTTACCCAAGCAGGGAGGATTTTTTTTTTTTTCCTGATGAGTAAGATGAGGGGTATGAATTCTGAGTTCTGCTCACTCCAGCACAGAGCAAGATGGCATCTGGCAGCTGACTGCTGTACTTGAGAGCCTGGTGGCCAGCAGCGCTGCTTTGGCTCCTCTGAACAGGGCCAGGGAGCTGGAGCCTCCTCAGTGGAGAAGGGACACAGCACAGTCAGTGAGAGGATTTCTTGAAATGCGTTTTGCAACAGTGTGTCCCCTGCCTGCCCTCCCACCCCAGCTGGCATCCTGTTCTGTCTAGCAGGAGGCTGCAGAGTTCACACACAGCTGGCCTATCAGAAATAAACATGTGGTAGCCCTAGCTGCAATCTAAGCAATTTTGGATAAAAACATTAAAAAATTGTAGGACAAGACAGTGACTGTGCCAATAAGCAAAATAGCGGTTGCTTACAGATAAAAAAGAGATGCAGCATAAATGGAAGAGAAATGTATGTGTAATTACTGTTGCAGTTGCCATTCAGTTTGCTGCTTCAGAGAAGCTGCAGTTAAGGGAAACCAATAAACGGAACCCTCATCAAATGATGCAAATGTGTCCTCATCAGTGTTATTTCCACACTGAGTGAACAGAGTGAAGAGATTCATGGCACCTGCTTGGGCAGCTGGGTTGCCATTAAGCCAATAGGTAGATACAAGGTTTGCTTCTACTGTCTTGAAAGTAGGGTTTGTCCCAGAAATTACAGCTGTTCTGGTTTTTTGGGGGGCAGGGCAACACCACTGTTCCACTCCCATTAAATGCATCTACTGCTAATGGACAGACCCTTTGTTAGGACTAAGGACTGATGAGACTTAGCAAAAAAAACTTTAACAAAAAACTAAGTGCAGTTGATACTGTGACAAGGTGAGCTGTAGCAGCAACTGTAGGAGGTTCTAAACTGCAACCATCACTTTAGAGATGGTGACTGTAGCTTCAAAGCCAAGGGTGCGTGAAAACTGCAAGACCACAACTATTTTACTTAGGTGCTAGATGCTGAAGTTCCCACAATCAGCCTGCCTGATGTCCCCTACACTGTTCACATCTTCACGTTAATCTTAAATTTGACCTAAAGTAACAGCTACAGAAGTAGATAAGTATGGAGTTGCCCTTGCTCAGAAGTTGAAAGTAAGTATTCACATTGCTTCCTCAGCTGGCTGACACAAAATTCCAACTCAGGTCCAGTAAAAATGAAGAAGTTCAAGTATCCTTTATTCAAGGTTGAAAAAATGTACCACACCACATTATTGCAAAAGTTCATAGGTACAAAACACTTTGCAGCTGGTGAGAAGGCAATAAAAAGTTGTTTTAAATTTGTTACTATAAATTACTGTTACAGTACTTTGCAAATACAGAATTTCAAATTGCATCATTTTTATTTTTCTAAAATTGCCCACAGTACTAGAAATTCCTGAAGATAAGGCAGCTGTTTGTTTAAAAGAAGAGGTAGCTGGTGTCAAGGGATTTCCATTTCTCTTTCAATGCCCACATACTTAAGGGCATCAGCTTGGCTATATCTGAAATTAAAAAAATAAAAAAAAAACAGTAACACTGAACATTTCAGTTTTGCTGTTCTGCACCACAGCCTGGAATACTCTTCACACTTGGATTTCCCACAGTTTTCTCACCAGCTGGGGCCTTCATTTCTTGTGTGAATTTGCAGATGCAGAACAATGCTGAACACTCAAGAAACTGCCTTTAGAGGAGTTTGACCAAGAGGACACAAAACACTAAAATTCCACACTTTTTTCACCTTGAATGTCACAGTACTTAGTTTTAGCTAGTGGAAAGCAGCTGCATTTCTCAAGGTTGACTTACACAGTATCATCACTGGAGAGCTTAAGTTTTCTTCAAGGGGGATGATTTTAGAAGAAAGTATGAACACAACCTTAGCAAGCACTTCTCTGTAATAACGCAGAATACTTCTTGCCTGTTTCTGAATGATGGGAGAGACAACCCATACTGCTACCTAGGGAACACTACCAGATAAAGTTTAATATGCAGGTCTGCCTGCAGAAGTTGTGCAGGTCTGTCCATCTTTGTCACTAAACTTTTCTCTATACAAGCTGGTGTTCCAAGTTTGCAAGGTTCTTAACCAGCTGCTTCGCTCAGGTTAGTCTTACTATAGTCTCTGGCTTTAACAAAACAAAACAAAAAAAAAAATAAAAAAAAAAATGCAAGGGGACTGCTTCTCAGCTGCTGAGACCTGAGGTTGTAAGGACACAGGCACACTAATTAATAATGAGCTAGGCAGAAATACTGACAGCTAATCCAGTCTATGATGGGAAGAAATTATAAAATCCATCTACCAACCTGTAGTCAAAGAACAGTTCTTCACCAGTCTGAATGGCTCTTTTAGCAAATATTCCTATTCTGTGATCACCATTAACCATCATAACTGTTTAAAAGAAATTTAAATTTATGTTAACACAAATACTGATGTGTATTCTAAATAAATATCCCACAACATTTCATACATTGCTAAAAGCAAGTAAATTTAAAACTTACCTTTTGCATAGCAGTTGGGATTAACTGAATGGTTTGCAAATCTAATTTTGTTGCCCTTACGTGTTGCATCAACCACAAAATCTGGGGGAGGGGAAAGAAACAAAACCCACAGATGATGGATAGGTCACCTACAAACAAATTTTTGTGTTTAATACCTAGTGTGCTTGGATTTTAGAAGCTGGAAAAGCTAACTGCTCAGATTCCCATATGGAAGAGCTGGCACATTGTCCTACAATAGCTTTATTGTTCTGCAAGACTCAAAATATTGCTGCTGCCCCACACTGTGCATTCCACTTGTCTCTGCCACAGTGGCACTACCTTAGTTTCTCACTGGAATTCCACAAGGACAAGATCCATAAATATGCTAAGTCAACTCTGACATAAAGCAGCTTTTTTTTTTTTCCCCCTTTCAAATATTTTCTAGTATTTCACACTTGACACAGTGCCATCTGTATTTTTCTCTTCAAGTGGCAGTAGCCACATGTCTGTGGCTCCCCCCCCAACACAAAATTACCATCATAACTTACTGCTAATTTGTCACAGCAAAATTATTTCAGACAGTACTTAGCAAGCCTTTTAAATTCTTTAGGCTACTTTACTAATGCTTACACATAATTTTACTCCATGAAATTCTACTTAACTCATCTTGTATATTTGGCCTGCGTAATAGGCTCCATCACTACAATCTAATTGACTAGCATTTGGGGGGAGGGGGGGAAGCACTAGCTATCAATATTAGGAATCTACACATTGCTAGGAAAAGATGCAGAAGAAAACATTTCACAATGTTACCTGCTGCCAGCAGAAGAACAGGGCTGAACAAAGTGGTGAGCATACATATTTTATTTATGCTGCAAGGGTTGTGACTAGTACAATACATACCATTGTTCAAGTTAAAGAGAAAGCTGCACATGTATTTGTCGTATACTTTTCCTCTTCTGTCTGCCTCATCCTGTGAAATAATCTGAAAGAAATAGTAATTGTAAAAGAGACCACCTCTCCTCTTTTGTAACAGTAGCAGCTTAAGGTCAAAAACCCCAGACATTCTGAAAAGAAAGGTGTGTTTTTTATTCTCTGGGACTGAAAACATTCCCAAACACGAAGTACTGTTTTCAGCAAGCATTCTGCACTTATCAAACAACCGTGGTTTGCTCTTAGCATAAATAAGTTCTTTCAGAGCAGAAGGAAAGCAAGAATTGCTTCTCACAAAATCAAGACTGCATACCTGATTCAGGGTTTTCTTATTACGATAGAACATAATTTAGTGAAAGCACCTACTGAATTTTAGTACAGTGATTTTCCACAAAATTCCAGGCACATCTGAATTGAAATTACATCTAAGATAAAAATGACATTCCAGCCTCTCATTCCTACAAGAACCTATGTAAAATTTTTTGTGACATTCCAACCATCTAGCTCCTGGGTTTGGAGCATCTGACAGCAGTAGCTGTATACATAATCAATCGTGTCTCTCTGTCTAAACATGATACCAAGTTAGAGACAATCTCTTGGTCCCTAGCCAACACATGACTTCACCAATTAAGCTCATATATAACCAGTGTTCTCCATCCTTACCTCACCACAGTATTCAGAGATGAATTCATTCTTCTGTACAGGATCTTTGATGAAAATTCCCCAGCCTGCCACATCTGAAGGTGCCAATAGCAAGTGCTGTGGGAGAGAAAAAACCAAAAAGTTTAGACATGCCTGGCTTGGACTTGGTTTTTGTTTTGGCTTTTGGTTGGGGGTTTTTTTGTTGGTTTTTTTTTTGTTGTTTGGTGGTGGGGGTTTTGGGGTTTTTTTTTTTTGTTTTTTTTAAATTGTATCACTTAATGAAACATATGCTGGGGCTCCAGGAGAGAGGACAAACGCAGATTCTTCTAATTATCAAATGCACACTGAAATGACAGCTTGTGGATCAGAAGTTGTATGCGAAAGAAAAAACACATTAAGTACTTGAAAACCAGTAAAAATTTTAGTTTAACCTTAAAATGAGGGTGTTACATAAAAACATATACGCTAAGGACTTCAAACTAGAAAGGTCTGCAGAGAGGAGCCCACTACTGATTAGCTCAGTATTCGACTGAATTAGTTTGTGAGAACATGTTCCAGAGCAGAAATAAACCTTGGCTTGTTTGTTTGTTTATTTGACACAGCTGAACAGGTTTTTGAGATATCTTCAGCAGACTGTATACAATTTGTGTGTTAGAATCAACAACTGAAGAAAGAAATAGCCAATATCTATGTCTGAGCCAAACATCCTTATGCTGATCTAGGGAAATACTGACAAGCTATCACTTTAAAACAGCAGCCTTTGCAAATTACAAGCAAAGCCTGAATGAGGAAAAGGAGATATTCTACTTCAGTGTTACACAGAAAACACTAACTAATTGGTACATGACAAAATGTACACCAGAGCTTAACAGCAGCATGTAAGCAAGCTAACATAAGTGACAGCTACCTCCCTTTTTGTTTTTCTTTTCCTGTTTGACAGCAGGAAGGCAAAGAAATTCCATTCTCTGGTATGAAAATATAAAAACACCTCAAAACCAAAGCAATAGGCATGTAGTTGTATAACTATCTACATACTTTTTTGGATCCTCTCTGAATGCTGCAGTTCTTGCAAGAAACATTTTTGCTGTCCCAGTGGTCGGCTGCTCCACATGTTAAACAGAGGTCAGGATCACATTCGCGTACAGCTAGGTAACATGGACACTGCTTAGTGTTGCATTGTGCTTTACAACGACATCCAGGAAACCTGTTTTGGCCTACAAACGAATATATGGAAAACAAAAAGGGCAAGTATGAAAAAAGTACATTGTAAAATTAAGACAGATTATAGCATATCAGAATATTAAAAAAAAAAACAACCAAACCATAGCCATTGATATCTGTATAGGACATTCGGGATTCCTGTAAATTCTTTCCTTCTCTCATTTTACTCCAGTCTTCCTCAATTTTAAGTCTGAAGACTGTTTCTGGCTTCATTCAATGGCAAATTAAGAGGGCCAAATTAAACTGAACACGTGCTCCCTTCTCACACTATTTGACAGAATTTGCTGCTTCTGCAAACACTGTCTGCAGTACAGACTGCCTGCTAGTACAGTTAGATGTTGGGACAGTGAATGAAATTTATAGATAGCTTTTAAATGTTTTACTTACATTCTGAGCTGCACTGACAAAACTTCTCACAGAAGTTTTGAGCAATTACACATGGGCATGAGCTATCACAAGGCTGACGTGGATGATCACATGGCTGATAGTTGTAAACATGATTCGATGACCCATCTGAATAAAAATAGCAACATTTTGTAAAGTTGAAAGGTGCCAACAAACAATATGCAGTTCCCTTCACTCTTTAAAACAGAAATTCCCTTTTAGTCATTTAACTAACAAAACCCAAAAAATGGACAAAAAAAATCCCACACCTACAATCAGTGGGGTTAAAAAAACCCAAGACACCAAACCAGAATTGTAACATTAGTTAGGTGTTTGTCACCATTCGTTGCCTGCTTCCTAGTGCACTTCATTCTTCCCATTACTCAGCTGCTTTGAGTATTCAGAGCTGAAAACTGTTTACTGTGGAAAACTGACAAACGAAACTACAATGGTATAATTTTCTGTGTGAACATGTTCTAGAGTAACACTGATATTATTCAGCAAAGTAGATTTGCTCAAATACCCAAAGTAATTTTTACTCTGGAGCAACAGTCAACTTTCAAACAGATACACTAGCAAAATAATACCTGGTCATTATACCACTGTGCTTTCCCAAGTCAATTTTCCAATTCAGACAACACTAACATTTTATAAGCAAGGAGGGGCTAGTCCAGAGTTTTATCTATAGAGCAGCTAGAACAATTCGGTGCTATATAAATTATATTTGCTGTTAATACTCCTGAGCTTGTGTTGGGTTTGCATGTATTCATAAAAATGCTCAAGTTAGCAATCAGCAACCAAAAAGGAGAGACACACAAACTGATCAATTATTTATGTTGCTAGAAGTCCCAACCACTCGCAACAGATTTTCAGATAACTATTTCTAAAATAATGTTTAAAAAAAAAAAAAAA